ATGTCGGTAGCCTATAAGGAGAATTTGTATAAAATGTTCTACCGATGGCATCTACCCCCAGTGAGATTGGTCAAAATGTTCCCAAACTTATCCCTAAGTGTTGGAGATGTAGACATAAATCTGGAATGTTTTATCATATGTGGTGGACATGTCCCAATGCCAGGAAATATTGGCTCAAAATTAAAGAATGGCTGGAAGGAATCACAGAACGTAAGATAGAATTGAAACCAGAATTATGTCTATTAGGCATACTAGATCCAAAAATGGATAAGAATTATCAATACATAATATTACACATACTAACCGCTGCTAGGATTACTTTTGCACAAAACGAAACAAATAAATACCCCCTCAGATGAAATGGTAATTAGAAAGATACTTGAATGTGCTGAAATGGACAGGATGACCATGGAGTTAAAAGAAACAGAGTAATCGGATTATTATAAAATTTGCCGTAGACTGTACAGTGGTTAGAGAATAGAAGCCAAAACAAGAAATAAATGTTTAAAAACTATTGACTATAAGATAAAGATAAATGTATATATGTACAATCAGAATGGTTATAATTAGTATTATATTATAATATATAATATATAATATAAGTATAGTAATTATAATATAATTACTATACTTCTACTAGAATTGTTAAAATCTATGAGAAGGCAAATATTGAATAGTGAAGTACAAAAGCAGAATATACATGCTGATATGGAAAGCTGTAAAATTGTATAATACGGTTGTGTTGTTTGTTTTTTCTATTTGTTTGTATTCATCTTATTATTTCTTTTTTTTTCTTTACTTGTGGTTTTTAAAGTTGGAAAATGTTCAAACTATTTTTAAAAAAAAGAAATGTTTTGTTTATTTATTAATTTCAAATGGTTACCAAATTAGAAAAACTCTAGTGCTTTGCATGCCAACTTCCTATTTAAAAAATATTTTTTAAAAGGGAGATATGGCAAGGAACTTGATGGTTGCCAAAGGAGGTATCTGTAGGCACATCTCAAATCAGATCACATTCATGTACTGTTGAATATGGCACATGCTCTCAATATTTCTTCACACTGAGGAAAATTGCATATAGAAATGAACAGGAAAGAAAAAATAAAACATGCATATGCATGAACCATTTTTAGTTAGGGAAAAGACATCTCAGATAAATAAATGCTGGAATAACTGGTTCCTATTTTTTAAACGGGCTGGCAGTGCCCCATTCTGATTTGCATGTGGTTAAAACTTTAATTGGTTAAAAGTCAATTTGCATATTCCTGAAAATATGGGTCTGTTCACCTTATAGTGGAGTCCACATTTTCTGTTTTGCATTACAGACTAATTAGAACAATACACTTGGAACACTCTAGGGCAACATAGACAGCTGTCTGAAGGACAATAGGAATTAAAATTGATTGTATCTGGAGGTCCCGAGTGAGGGAGGGCTGAACCTGGAGTACCAGTGTATGAAAATATTTACTTGGTCCTTTGAAGTCTGTAAAGAATAAGGAAGATGACCTTGTTGGAAAAATGCAAGAACCATTAATTAGCCAAAGGGAACCGAAACGTTTTTTTTAAGTCCTTATAAACAAAATAATATTTAGAAACAGCTCAGAAAGACACCTCCCTGATTCACTTGGGAATTGAAGGGACGAATGTCAGGAATGTTTGTGTGGACAGATAGCAAAGCCAAACTTGCAAAATTTGTTAATGTAGCCAAAGTAGATCTTCTAGTCTTCTATGGCACCGAATTCCTGAATTCTGGCCTACTTAGTGCAGCTGACAAAACCCCACATAACTTGATGATGCACATAAACTAAATATTTGTATCAGCACTATATATATTTTGTTATATAATTTGAATTGCCTAAACAGAAGTATGTTAGAACTTCATGTCTTCTTGACCCTTTTCATTTCTAACAGTGTTCTCATATTCAGAGTTATGAAAGATGCCAAAAAATCATAACATGTCAAGAAAATGCTGCTCTAAGACATTTTCAGAAAATTTAAATTATTGGCCCAGCATTTGTAGGAGAGCTAGTGGAATTATAGAACATATTTAGAAATTGGATGCATGGGATTTTTAGTTTCTAGGGTTGTACAATTTAAGGCCCCAGAGCCACTTGCACTATACCTCATTAATAACTTGAATGAGTTCACAAAATTCTTTAAAATACTGGTACCAAATGCTAATTTTAAAGGAGGAAATGTTAAATAAACAGGAAGAGTAATCTCATTGATTAAACTAAGTTTTACCCACCCATTTCTTTGATCTCTTTCAACATGAACATTTTTCATCCAGATGGCTTCCAGGATGGCTACTGGGGATCTTACCTTTTCCCTCTTCAAAGCATATCCCTGCTTTAAAAGTAACTGTGGTGCATTACATAATGTTTTTTGTCTTGCAAATTAAATTTGTCCAGTAAAAAGAAATGTCCCTATGAATGTTAAATTTGTCTATTTAAACATGTTGCTTTATGCTTTTAAAGAGTACATTCAAAGAAAAAAGTCTCTACAAGCCTAATTCTGCACACATAGAGAGACATTAGCATGATTGTGTAACAATTTATAGCTTGTTTTTCCAAATGTTCGGCTTGTTCCTGATGTAGTGGTTAGTATACGGATGCCTCAGCCATTTCAGGAAATTTCTCCAGCTCTCAGTCAAAGCTAAAAAGCTGGCAGAAAACAGGCCAAGTCCAGTAACAATTCTATTACACAAGAGTATGCCCATTTTTAAATTCCAATTGTATAAGTATCAAAAACCAGAAGTTCACATGTCTTAAGTCACTGTGTTCTCATTTGAGCAACAATCGTTTTAAACTAAAATTTGGCAGGGGATTATCGCGTAATGTAGACCAAATGCACTTGGAATGCTGAAAAACAGCATTCAAAAACCAAGAGATTTCACTTGGAAAACACTTAAACTAGACAACCACAGCTCCTATTTTACACACTTCAAGGAAAGTCCATTGCTCAGCCCAAGACTTGGAAGGAAAACACAATAATTTTAACTTAAATGGAAGATCTACATAAGACTGAAACTCAGGGGAAGAGATCAAAGGGATGAGTTATTATTATTTATTTTTATCCAAACAATAAAAGAAGGAATACACTTTTTGAAAGTTTCTTTGAAAATATAGGAATCCAGATATAGATTATCTCTAATAGTATTCTCCAATTTGATCCTACAGATACTTTGAATTATCACTTCAGAATTCGTAGTTGACATTACTTTTGACTTTTCTTACTCTTAACCTGCCCATCCCCATCATTCATCCATATATATTTTGAGCTAAAAAAGATACTTCATATTTCACCATACTACGGTCTGTTGTCCAGTCTTCTATTACCAACTTTTCATAATCCTTTCCAAAACATCTTGTGATATTTCATTTAACTTTCCAGGAATCTTGTCCTGCTTTAAATGTAAACACATATTAAACTTGGAATGATTGATGTATTTCGGTTTGTCTGATATGTTTGGAAAATTAGAAAACCCGGGGATTGGAAGGTTGGAAGAAACTGGATGATAACTAACAGGTATGTCTTTTAGTTGACTTGTACATTAGGATGGACACAAGAGAATGAAAAAAATAAAGCCTTTTTCAAAGAAGAGCAAACTTATTTTCTGTCCCTGAGGATAGAAAGCTTTAATTTGGGATTTACTTTAAAGCAAAATCCTGGAAGTTGTGACAAAAATTGTGAAAAGATTGCAAGACTTTGAAGAAAGGACTGTGGAAGAAATGTGAGGGTTGAAGAATGATCCCATATATGAGTGTAAAAACATGGATTTCATTATGAAGTTTCATCCATGGAATCATTCAGATGTTCAGGTTTCATTCAGAAGTGCATACGAATGCAGTTCATGGTAGGGCCAAAATTAATAGACCAGCGCAGCTTAGAGGAACATAATTTTGTCATGATGCAACAGATGAAAAATATAGGATCCATATTTATTAATAAAGCAGGCAAGAAGAGGATTTCTCATATGGAACTGTTTGACTTTGAGCCAAACCACTAGTCCAAATCACTTGAGCTGTTGGCACTGAAGATCTGGGCCAAACTCCAAGGCCTTCAGAACAATTAACCAAATAGCAGAATGGTGTAAATAGATTAAGCAGTAGCAGGATGGAGCTAACCTATCTTGATTTGGGATCAAAAATTGAAAAAGTTTCTTCTCTTATGACAATCTGCCCAGATTCCAGACCTTTCCCTCTTAACTTTCCCTGAGTTCTACGAAGTTCATCCAAAATAGAAAAAAAGACAGTCTTTCCTGTGGAGCTTCATATCAAGTAGCATGCTTTGCCATTTCAAATGTATCAGACCCAATCTATGTCTCCTTTTAAGAAAGCCCTAAAGCCCCATTAATTTATCCAAGGAATCCTGTTAACAAGACTTATTGTATTGGCAAGGACACCAATTGGAACTGAGGTTTCTTTTTCTATGGTGGAACATATTCTTTTAAAGTTGGCTTTCTAGCCTCAGTGAAACCTAGATACTTTTTTAACAGCTAGAAGTAGTGAACTACAATATTAATTACAGCATAGTCTTCTAAACCCTGAGATATTAGCATCAGCATTGGGGTGCAATGGTTCAGCAGTTAAAGACACAGATCGGGTTCGAGACCCAAGCACTGCACGATGGGATGAGCTCCCATTACTTGACCCAGCTCCTGCCTACCTAGCAGTTTGAAAGCATGCAAATGCAAGTAGATAAATAGGTACCACCTTGGTGGAAATGTAACAGCGTTCTGTGCATCTCGGTGTATAGTCATGCTGGCTGCATGACCATGGAAGTATCTCCAGACAAGGCTGGTTCCCTCAGCTAAGAAACAGAGTTGAGCACTGTCCCCTAGAATTGAACATGACTGGAAAGGGAGAAAACTTTTACCTTTACCTTCTAAACTCTGAGATATTACAAGCACATTCACCCTAAAATAGCCTTCTTTCAAAAATAGGAATAATTATGAAGGAACCAGAAAAGGAGGAGAGTCTTTGGGGAAAGGCACATACCTGTCCGGTAGACAAAAGTTCCATCAGTCTCAGAGGAGGATGGCGACACCAGTTCTTCTTCAAACTCATTAGAACTGAATGATCCAGAATGATTCCTTTGTCTTGTTTTTTCCATCAGGTCTGCATCTGTGGTCATGACATGTGTCACCGAATCATTCAGGTAGCGATTTAATAAGCTGCTTTTGTATTTAGGAGGGGCTACATAATCCTCACTGGCACTTCCTTCTGGTTTTGCTCCAGATTTTATGACAGGATTTTCTGTTTTAATCACAGCATGGTGAACCTGGGTGTTGTATTCTCCTTCATTTCGGGGAGGGTTTTCAACATCTGCAAAGAGAAGAATGATCAAGCAGAAACTTTTCTTATGTATCTTTATACTCCTAAAGAAGCATTTGGTGGAAAACGGAGATCAGATGACATTATCATGACAGTCTTTTCTAAAATCCATTTACATAGACTTCTCTAACCTGCCCCATCCTCAGTTCCCAGTTCCCAGCCACATGGGTGAAGTGTGCTTCCCACCGAAGGTTACTTATATATTACATATATATATATGAGATTCACCCCTTAAAAGCAGTGAAACAACCCCCCCCCAAAAGAAACAATTTATTACATGGTTTATCTACTACGGTACTATATTTTTGGCAGTTCCCCAAAGAAACAAGACAGGGTTCATTTCATACATAATTTATCTTTGCAGTAGTGGGACTGCTGCAATTGCTATAGAAGACAAATATTTTTGTGTAAATATACAGTGAACTCCCTCTTGTCTCTTAATACATTTATAACTGGGCTTTAAGAAAGATTAGTTCAAATAATTCAGAAAGAATTGACATCCTCCTGCCAAACTTAACTTTTGGGAAGAAGTTCTTGCAGGAGAGGGCATCAAATGGGCATAAGATTTCTTCCTTTTCTACAAAACCATCATTGCATCTTAAGCAAACAATATAGTCCATCTGGACATATATAGGCTTTTAATCTTTGAAGTGATTTTTTTAGAGACATTCATTCTTCTTCAGTCCAGGAAGATGCTGCTTATTGGACATAGTTGAGGAGCACAGATCAAGGCAAAAACAGCATGCAAGACTATACTGACTTCTTGAGAAATAATAATTATTTTCAATTTTACAGACTTTTTATAGAGACAACTTGAAAGTATCAAAAACAAACCTTCAGAACATGAATCATCACTGCTTACGCTAAGCCGCTCAGCATTTCCTTGAACATACTTATTGTATAGTTTTATTCGTAAAGCCCAGCTGAGATCCGGTTGGCGGACAGTATTTTTAAGACGCCGCCTTGCATTGGCAAACCAATTAGACACCTAAATAAAAGACAAATGCATCAAATTTGTCTTTGACCCAGAACATTGAGAACTGATTTTCTCCTCTGTAAATGCGATGAAAGAAGTATAAAAGGCAGACAAATGATTCATAGTTCTATTTCAACAACAATTATATGGGCACTGGAAAAACATGATATCAAGTTCTATATCTATCAATTATTAAATAAAAGGTCAATCTGTGCTCCTGCAAGTCTTGCTGAATTCTGGTAAAAAAAAACAGCATATATTGAAAAAAAGATGTGAATTAGCTCAAAAATATCCAGAGAGCCACCTGCTACCTACTTCTGTAAAATGACCAACAATAGAACCTTAAATTGCAGAATCCCACATCCAAATAGGAAGTGGGTGGCTATATAACTAGGCTATTGAATGCAAGAGACAGATGCAATTTTTCAGGCTTTCAGAGTGCTAGATCAGTTATTCTGGTTCCTATAACCCATATCAGCTTCCCATTTCTGCTGATCACGACCCACTAATGGATATTCCTTATGCCAAAAAGTACCATGGGATCAGCACAGGAACACTTATTATTCTGCAACACAAATTTAGATGAACCAATGTTTGGACTGTATATACTTTCTGAATTCTTTGTTGAATAGTCTGTGTTAATGATTGTACCATTTATTTTTGGGGAGGGGGGAGTAAAGAGAGAGAGAGAAAGATTTGTTGGCTTAAAAGCTGCATAAGCATCTTCTGTCACGTGAAGAGATTTATCCACGTAGCTCTTGATACAGGCAATATAAAACTAGCGTGATTTATATGCATGCACCTCCGTTTCATGGAAAAAGCCAAAATGAAGCCTTGTGCACTCAAGATTTCCATGTCAATAGCAAGCATTATTCACATGAATATGAACAGCTCCCTGTTTCAAAGTGTTCCAGCAGGCAGTAAAGTCCAACATGAAATAGGGTTATCTTAAGAAAAAGTATCTTCAACCCCCAAATATTTGAATTTTGGATGTTGTCTTTTCCTCATCAAAACAATTATGAAATCATCGTCATTTTTTACCATTTAGGAACTAAAGGAAATAAGCTCACAATTCGTACGGCCTAGAACAGGAGAAAAGAAGTGGTTACTCCAAGCATTGTAGCAAAAAATAGAAATTTTAAAAAGCTGTATTTGATGCAATTGTTCAGTGATGGTAAACCTTTTTGGCACTGAGTGCCCAAACTGGAACGTGTGCATGTGGGCAAGCGCCTGAGCGCTGGGAACCCAAAGACTAGCTGGCCGGTGCACATGCGGTCGCCCAGCCAGCTGGTCTTCGGGTTTCTGGCACATGCATGCATGCTGGCCAGTAAGTCTTTGCATGCGCCTTTTTCGGGTAATTTTCAGGCCGTTTTTCAGGCCATTTTCAGTCTGGTTTTTTGGACAAAGAAACACCCTGGAAATGGCCCGAAAACAACCTGAAAAGTGGCCTGAAAATGACCTGAGAATGATCCAGAAAAGGCCGGGAAACAGCCTGAAAAATGCCCTGTTTTTTGGCTGCTTTTGGCTGTTTTTCAGGCCATTTTGAGGCCATTTTCTGGTGCTCCGGCACCGGCAAAGACCGGCTGGTCGGCGCACATGTGCGCACCCGAAACCAGAAGAGAAGCTGGTGATGGTGCACATGCCCACAGAAAGGGGTCTGCGTGCCACCTATGGCCATAGGTTCACCATCACGGCAATAGTTGGTTAAGGAGCTATTTTTAGTATTCCGTTTCACTCAACCAATACAGTCAATTTAGAGTTGATAAATACTGCATTAGTTATTGGTTTCTCAGGACTGTCATTACCATCTCTTGTTTGGCTTCTAACTTTCTTAAAAATACTACATTTCTGTTCATATGAATTGGTCCTATTCCAGAAGCATGTAAAGCCTGAAATAAAACAATTGCATATAGTTTCAAACCCACAGTCACCACCAGATTGTTAACTAGGGCGTCCATCAGAGCTTCCAAAGGTGCCAGAAGCACATGTTTAAGCTTTGTAGTTTCCCCTGATTGTCCTGGACCCAAACACATAGCTGACCTCTACCTTCCTCCCTCTCTCTCTCTGTTATCAAATAATTTTCCGTTTCCATGATATGGCCTGCAAGTGTGTACTGCAGCAAATTTCTGCATTTCATGAATACCTAGAATGATGAAGCAGTTTTAGGAATCCTGTATGGGCTACCTCTAGTTCCATCTTGGAACAAAAGGCAGGTTACAAAATGCCGTAACAGAGCAAATAAAATTAGAAGGATGAATTGTTCTTAGCTGGACTAGGAAAATTGTAGCTGTTCAGACTTGGAATGATGTTAAACACTGTGGGCCACAATTCCCATAATTACTGAGCAACAGGGCCAAATGCACTGTGCTCTCACAAAACAGGAGGCTCTGAAGCTGGAGAAAGTGTGGATTAACCTAAGAATTTTTTTTTACATGCCCTTCATTCTGTTTTGCTTTTTTTTCCTTCTTCTTATTTACTATTATGATAAACTGTTTCTACTCAGCAAATGTATTTTTCAGGTGGTTTTAGGGCAGGTCTCCCATTTTCCAATGCATTAAATAAACATCATACTTAAAATATAAATCATAAAGTACGTTCCTATCTTTATCTCCTTTGAAGGGAAAAGATTACTAGGATATTGCAGATCGTATTGCACAAGGATAAACATCTAAAGGAGCAATTTCTCCAAACTGTGTTCTCCAGATGTGTGGGTCAATAATAGAATGAAAGTTTTGCTGAAAGTTTTGAGAGTTGAAGTTCAAGACATCTGAAGATTGGAGATGATTGAAAGGGAGAAGATGGCTCACCTAAGTGATTCTCTCTTCCTGAGTAAATTATATCCTATGCAGTATATGCTTTTGCATAGCTGAATATTGCCAGAGCCCCAGAAGCTCAAAAGTAAGCCATTAGTCATACTGTGGCAAATCATATTCAACAATAAAGCCATTCATATTTCTCCTTCTGGAAAGAATGTTCAGCTTTTTTTTTTTTTATTCCTAGGAATGGCTAAAACCAAATTTAAAATAAAATAAATCCACCCCTACGGGAATAGTGCAAATGAAAACATGACATACAGCATTCATTGCAAATTAGCAGGACAAATTGCTAGCCTCCAAATTGAGGGCTAATTGGTGAGATAAATATAGGCTGCGGCTTTTAGTCGAATATGGCTTCCCGCTCTAGTTCTGTAGTTTCGTAGTATAATGTTTCTGGCTCTAAAGCAAATGGGAGAAGAGGGAGTCTAGAAGTTACATGAATTAGGCACCGTATTCAGCTGCACTTCAGCTATTCAGATTTCCCCCCAAAATCTTCTATTAGAAACCTTCTTCCTTTTCTTAAGCCAAAATTAGCTAATATAGGGACAATTTGCTTGTTTGTTGGTTAATATGCTACCAGGAACTCAGACAAGAAAATGGCATCATTTCTCTCTCTCTCTCTCTCTCTCTCTCTCTCTCACACACACACACACACACACACACACACACACACACACACACACAGAGAGAGAGAGAGAGAGAGAGAGAGAGAGAGAGAGAGAGAGAGAGAGAAATCTCCTGTGGGGCAGGATTGACTGAAGGAATGGCCCCAAGTCCCTCAGTGAAATTCCATGGCTGAGTTGAAGTTGGATCTCCAAGTCCTAGTTTACTACTTTTATCATCTTAAATTAGGGTTTCCCAACCTTGGCAATTTTCAGGTATATGGACTTTAACTTCCAGAATTACACAGCCAGCATAGCCATTGCCAAAAATTCTAGGAGTTGAAACCCACTCACCTTTAAAATGCCATGATTGGGAAATAGATTATTGGGAAAACAATAGATTCTGTTTTCCACGAGAAACTCAATGTAAATTTTTCCAACTTGCTTGTAATGCATGTGGTACTTTACTTACTTACTTACTTACTTACTTACTTACTTACTTACTTACTTACCCAGTTATTTACTTACTTGTAGTGAATAAAATTGAGAGGGTGTACAAAACCTTTGCTTTCTCTGTCACTCTATAATGTCTACTTTTACTTTTACTTCATCAGGATTTCCATCTAACTAAATGTCCCAAGCTAGTACATGGTCAGTGGTGTCTAGTTATACTTAATAAGTTGCGTATGATTGTGGGATTAAAGGAAAAGCATCTGTAGCTAGAAAATTGTTAGCTAAAGAAAAAGGCTAGTAAGAAGTATTAGAGCTCCTCCCCAGCTGGATTCAGAAAACTTATCTTTTGCTTACAATTTAGCATTCTTTTGGTTGCATAATCCCAAATCCCAGATAAGAGATTATAAATACAATCTTCTTCTGATAGAAGTAACAGAAGTAATAAACATTCAGAAAGAGAAGCAACAACAAGCATTGCTAATAGGAAAATATTTACATGGTATGATTTCTTTGTATTAAGACTGCAAAATTGACATGATTAAAAAGACTTTCCACCCTTGTATTAAATATTCAAATATATATATAATACACATAATGAATGCAGTAACTAGTGTTGATACTATAATGCCCTGATATGGCCACACTTGAAATACTGCATCCAATTTTGGTCGCCACGATGTAAAAAAAGATGTTGAAACTCTAGAAAGAGTGCAGAGAAGAGCAACAAAGATCATTAGGGGACTCGATGCTAAAACATAAAGAATGGTTGCTGGAACTGGGTATGTCTAGTGTTATGAAAAGAAGGACTAGGGGTGACATGATAGCAGTGTTCCAACATCTCAGGGGCTGCCACAAAGAAGAGGGAGTCAAGCTATTCTCCAAAGCACCAGAGGGCAGGACAAAAAGCAATGGGTGGAAACTAATCAAGGAGAGAAGCAACCTAGAATAAGAAGAAGTTTCCTGACAGGTAGAACAATTAATCAGTGAAACAACTTGCCTCCAGAAGTTGTGAATGCTCCAAAACTGGAAATTTTAAAAAGAAATTGGACAATCATTTGTCTGAAATGGTATAGGGTTTCCTGCTGAGCAGGGAGTTGGACTAGAAGACCTCCAAGGTCCCTTCCAACTCTGTTATTCTATTTTAACTTAAACTGAAGATCGAAGATCCAAAATAACATAATATGGACCTCCAGGGATGTTATACTAAGTCTAAGACATAAAGCTAAGAGGCTATGAGAGATAACTTTAGGAATGTCCTCAGGGGGCTTTAGATTCACCACAAATATAAAGAGTTCCTTTATACGCAAGGCAAATTATTTCAGAGATTTTTTTTTCTTCACGCTCATATTTATGGAGTCTTAATGCAATCTTACTCATATTTACCCAGCACCGAATTCCACTAAGTTCAGTGGGTTTTAGGACAAGGCAGATCGGCTTCATATTGCAATTTAAATTGGCTACAATTAATAACAATAATCAACTATGGTGGGTTATGAGAGGATTTTTTTTCCTCCCAATTTGGCACCAATCCCATCATAAGAAAGATTTGACTGAAACTGAAATAAAACCGTAGCTCTAACGCTGTATCAATTTAACCAAATAAAACTAACATAGCAACGTGTTACAGAATTTGACAGAATGATGCAAAGGAAAAGGTCAACCTTATTACATGGAATGCATGACAAGGAAATGCAGATCATGAGAACACTTTTTTTGGTCAACTCCAGAAGTGTCCTGGCACTTAACAATCCTAGATTAAAGTCAGTCACCCAACACTATTTGATCATCTGGAATGCACAGCTTTAAGGAATGAGAACTATTTTTCAAATGCATATTAAAACATGACCCAGTTCTCAAGATAAAATAATGTCGGTTTGAGTTGGTGTGGTTGCAGAGAAATTATTCTACATTCAGGTGTGACTTGAAATTTGCCTTTGTTATTCTTGAAGATTGGCTTCTTATAATCAATAATCAGATCTCAACCACAATTCATTCTCTCCTTTTCTTTCCCTTCATGCAGATTGCTGGACCAAGCATAGAAGAAGCATCTGTAATGTTTTATTATAGTTCTTTTGTTTGTTTTTTGTTTGTTTGTTTTCAGACCATGTGCTTCTGTCAAATAAGATAGATTGACAATAAAATGAAGCATTTTTCTTGTTAACCAAATATGCAGTTTAATTTCTGTGGAACATATTGCCATGAAAAGCTAAGACGGCAAACGACCACACTTAATAAAAGTCCTTCAAAAAAAGGGGGGGGGAATTAATGGGAGTATCCAGTGGTGGGATTCAAGTAATTTAACAACCGGTTCTCTGCCCTAATGATTTCTTCCAACAACCAGTTCACCAAACTGCTCAGAAAGTTAACAACCGGTTCTCCCGAAGTGGTGTGAACTGGCTGAATCCCACCACTAGGAGTATCCAATTTATTCCTAAACAGCCAAAGAAGTCAAATGATAAGGTTGATTAGAATAAACACATATCTCCATACCTGCCTAACTTTTATTATACACCATTTCAAAATAGACTTGATACAACAAAATTCCCAAGGAGCCATGGTGGCGCAGTGTTTAGAAAAGCAGGCTAATTCTGCCCACTGCCAGGAGTTTGATCTTGACAGGCTCAAGGTTGATTCAGCCTTCCATCCTTCCGAGGTTGGTAAAATGAGGAGTCAAGATTGATGAGGCAAGATGCTGACTCTGTAAACCGCCTAGAGAGGGTTGTAAAGGACTATGGAGCTGTATATAAGTCTAAGCACTATTGTTATTGCTAAGAAATCACAATTAAAGCCAAAACATAGAAATCAAATACTTGATTTACTATTACTGCAGTATTCCCCAACCTAATTTCCTCCACCCTGTTCAAGTGAGCTCCGTCCAACCAAACACTATTATGGATGCTATAGTCCCACATATATAGACAGTCATGTTGATGTAATAAATGTCATCTGGAAGCCTAAATCAAGCTATCTTAGTTTCTAGAGGAATTATTTAATTTACTCATACAATAATGGTTTCTTGCCATAGTTTAATTACCAACTTTCTTCCAGTATCAATAGTGTTAAGGCAGAGGTAGATAGATACTTATTTCTGGAACAGAGCAAAACAATAAAATCAGATTAATATTCAGATAAAAGCTTGTGGCTGCTGCTTTTTTGGAACGAAATAGCTGGTATTCGGTTTCCATTTAATTGGACAGAAAAATAAATTTACATGTACATGAAAGAGCAGCTGAAGTACACTCCAGCTGCACTTAGAATTCCAGTTGTTTGTTCAAAACCATTGGAAGACACGAGATTGGGGGAAATTTATAGGACAGATGTGCATCTTTCCAGATTGAAAATCATACTTGACCTTTGAATGGCAATCTGGGTTATACTCTCAATAATACTAAAATTAAACATGGTTAATATTACTCTCCAATTATTACAGCCCTGCAAAATTTGTCACTCTAGGAACAGAATGTTCAAGAGAGCTCCCAAGTATTCTTTTGAAACATGCCAAAACTTTTCCTGTCTTACGGAAGTTTGGCAGTTTTTGAAAGTAAATCTTCCAAGTCTGGTTTCAAGAATTTACTTCCAGAAATCAACAAACCTCCTGAATGGGATTATCTGAAGGGAGATGGAGCATTCTGGAGTGCCACTCCTACGTAAACACATTTTTACTCTTCTCTATTAGTCCTCCTCTTTCTATTACATAAAAAAAAAGTTTATAACTTGCTGGTACATCTGATGGCAACCAATCAGACTTTTTAAATCAGAGTCTACAGAGTATTTTCTTCTTACCTGGACCAGAGTCATCTGGGAGCCAAGAGCCAGCAAGATCTTCTCTGTCTTAGTTGGGTAGGGATTATCCCGGTGCTTATACAACCACTGCTTCAATGGTCGTGCCATATCCTGCAGAGCCTGGCGCTTGTGTCTCACCTTCCCACTGTTCTGCCGGGCGCTGTGAATGAGGTAAGAGAGAGGGGAGAGAAAGAAGTATATTGAGATTCTTTGCCTCCTAGGTTTCAGGAGGAAAGGGAAGAGAGCTATGCATTCATACGACCAGTCATGGGATGGAGAAGAAAAAGAGCATCAGTGAGTCATGAAAGGGAATTGTTCCTCATGATTGTATGTATCAGGTTTCCCCAATGTGCTACTCCAATCCAGGGTTGAGAATGGAACTGATCAAATGTTCTGCAAAAATGACCTCTAGGCTTTCATTTGTGGAAGACTGATCTATAGCTTCTCCCTTTCCCCAAGTCAGAACAGCAGACATAGATTCTAATCAATGTGGAAGGAGTTACTTTTATTCACTCAGTGTAAACGTTAAAGGTGTAATTCAGCCTTTCCCAACTAGTTTATCCTTCCAATGGAGGAGGGGATTGGATTACAACCCCTCCTAAACATGTTGGTGAATGTTAGGTTGGGATAAATTGATTTATGGCTTTGAATAAATGCATGTGAATTTATAGAGGTTCTGGTACCTATCGTGATGATTTTCCATTGTTTGTGACATCAACGCACCTCAAATGGAATACCCTTGGCACATAAAATATTTTGTTATACACCATGAGGAGTTATTTTTATGAGATGGTAGCTAGATAAATTATTCATAAATAAATGAATAAAATTATATTTTAAAATACTGTATTTAATCAGCAATTTTAATGCTCAGATAATGGCTTTAATACTCAATCCATCCAAAGGCAACTGTACTAAACAAGTTTATGAAGGATATAGTCCAAATTAAGTGTGTGATGGACTATCTTATATTCCTATCTTTTATCTTATGACTATGAAGATAAAAGTGATTCAAAACAATTTAGGACTATTTAACTTTTAACGTATTGGCTAGCTTCACAGCACACTTTAAGACATGGCAACATTACCTATGGTTTGTTAAATATACAGCTCTCAGGATTAGCAGAAAAAATTTAAGCCATAAATCATAATGGCAGGCTCAAGCAATAGCCTATGCCAGAATCAAATAAGCTACATTATGGCTTCCCATATACAGATTCCCATTAGAGGCCCTGTTAATGCTAACGTAACCAGAGACTAAGCTCTTTATGCCCTCCATAACACAAATAATTGTATTGTTTTCTAACTAAAAACAGTCCTCAACTTATAATCATTCATTTAATGACCATTCAAAGCTATTATGTCACTTAAAAAGTGACATATGACCAGTTTTCCCACTTAGGAACCATTTCACCCTCTCCGTAGTCCCATCATTAAAATTCAGACACTTGGCAACTGGCAATATTTACAATGGTTGCAGTGTCCAAGGGTCACGTGATCACCATTTGCGACCTTCGCAGACATCTTGTGACAAAGTCAATGTGGATTTACATTAATGGCTGCATGATTCATTGAATAACTGCAGTGATTCACTTAACAAATATGGCAAGTAAAGTCATAAAACGGGACAAAACTCACTTCACAACTGCCTTGCCAAGCAATGGAAATTCTGGTCCCAGCTGTGATCATAAGTGGAGGACTACAGGTAGTCCTCAACTTACAACCACAACTGAGCCCGAAATGTATGTTGTCCAATGAGAAATTTGTTAAGTGAGTTTTGCCCAATTTTACGACTTTTCTTGCCACATTTGTTAAGTGAATCACTGCAGTTGTTAAATTAATAACATGCTTGTTAAGCGAATCTGGTTTCCCCGTTGATTTAGCTTGTCAGGAGGCGACTACATGACTCCTGGACACTGCAACTGGCATAAATGTGAGTCAATTGTCAAGCATTCAAATGTAAATCACGTGGCCATGGGGATGCTAAAATGGTTGTAAGTGTGAAAAACATGACATATTTCAGTGATGTTGTAACTTTGAACGGTCACTAAGTGAACTGTTGTAAACTGAGGACGTCTTGTATCTATAATACATCATTCTTTTTGTGAATAGGAGCTTCCCTTCTCCCCTCCTTCCAAGTTTTCTCTTGCTAGGGGTTGAATATGGATACAGCAGAATTATCAGTGGTGGGTTGCCCCCGGTTCAGACCGGTTTGCAAGAACCGGTAGTAAAACCAGCGGGAGGCTCTGCCCACTGACCCAGACATCATCATAGGTGATCTGTGCATGCGAATGCGTGTGTGAGCGATGCGAACCGATAGTAAAGGTAAGTAGAACCCACCCCTGAGAATTATGGATACAGCCACCCTGAATTTCAGCTCCATTGGTTTTGTCTCTTTTGGCTTCTTAGGTTTGGAATGTCTTATTGCTGTCAAGCAACTGTCTTTTCACAGGAATGCGATCAGGGGTGCTATTCAGCAGGTTCTGACAGGTTCTGGAGAACGCTGGCAGAAATTTTGAGTAGTTCAGAGAACCAGTAAATACCACCTCTGGCTGGCCCCAGAATGAGGTGGGAATGGAGATTTTGCAATATCCTTCCTCCAGGAGTGGGGCAGGAATAGGGATTTTGCAGTATCCTTCCCCTGCCACACCCACCAAGCCACTTCCACCAAGCCACGCCACGCCCACAGAATCGGTAGCATAAAAATTTGAATTCCACCACTGAATGTGATTAAAATAATTCCAACTTCAGCTGGATTATCAGTACCATCCTAGAAGTCACAATGATAAATGGGAATATACTCTGGAGTCTTTTCTAACATATTCTTGTCATTGTACATGATCAATGGTAATTACAAGCAACATAAAGGAGAGCCCTGCTGGTTAAACTAAAGGTCAATTGATTCCAAATATTTCCCAGAAGGATCTCTGAGACATATGGGCCAACTGAGGCATGAAGGCCACAGTTCTTTAAACAAAGATCTAAAGGCATTCAGAGCAGCCCACAAATACAGACATATGAGGGAGTGTGGATTTACAAACTATGCATAATCATTTATTCAGGTTTTATGGAAGAATAAGCAGAGAGGAGCTTGTTTATTCCTTAACATGTTTACCTCTCTAACTGTATTAAAAAAAAAAAACCATCTTGACTAGCTATAACAGTTTTGATAGTTCTCCACACATTCATAAAATCAAAATAACATTGCAGAAAGCAAATATATAAGCATGCGAAGCAAGAGCAAAATTCAGCCCCAAGGGATGGAGAAAAAAAGGAGTTGCCAAATTGGAGGCTTTGATAATTTAAATACCATCGTCCAGTTCTGGCCTGCATACTATCTCAACTTCTTATGAAGATAAAAGATCTTTCTCAAGTAAGGAAGCTGTTAAAATGTTGTCTGACCTTGGAAGGGAGATTTGAGAAGAAAAAAAAATGCAGACAAAACAGTGTTTGCTAACAGAAAACATTTGGTATTTGACACAAGCCTTTAGCTTTTCTCTCCACTGGGATAGAGATGCAGCCAAAGTAAGCAACTTCAGCAATCTTCTCCAATGTAGACCTTTTCAGTCATGTTGGAGAAAATGTCAGAAGTTGCCATCCCATTATTTCCAGGGCAGTGAAGAGTAAAGAGTTGGCTTAATCAACACTCTCTCCTGCACTGTTCTTTCAATTCTACCTTTAAACAAGGGATCTACTACCCTGAGCATCTAGCAATATGGATACTATTAGGATGCAACTCACCCCAGTAGAAGCAGCAAGAGGAGAGCACAAAAGCACAAAGAATTGCCCATGAATTAGTATCAGTCCAACAGACAACACTAATAACAGTAAGTGGATCTTACTCCCAAACCCATACAATCAATGGGAGGTGACTGGGCTTTTTAATAATTGCCTCCATAATGGGGACGTGTAGCAGGGGTGAAATCCAACACGTTCTGACAGGTTTTGGAGAACCGGTAGAGGAAATTTTGAGTAGTTCGGAGAACTGGCAAATACCACCTCTGGCTGGCCCCAAATTGGGGAGGGAATGGGGATTTTGCAATTTCCTTCCCTCAGGCGTGGGGTGGGAATGGAGATTTTGCAGTATCCTTCCCCTGCCACGCCCACCAAGCCACGCCCACCAAGCCACACCATGCCCACCAAGCCGTGCCCACATAGTAAAAAAAATTGGATTTCACCACTGACATGTAGGATAGTATTTCACAATCTCAGCAGTTTAAAGCTGTGTGAACTTCAATTCCCAGAATTCCCTAGGTAGCATGCTGTGGAATTCTGAGAGCGGAAGACCATACTTCATAAAGTTGCTGACCTTCAAAAACATTGGTGTAGAGCAGGGGTGTTAAACTCAAGGCCCGGGGGCTGGATCTGGCCTGTGGGATGCTTAGATCTGGCCAGTGGTGAGATGTAAAATTTGTTACTACTGGTTCTGTGGGTGTGGCTTGGTGGTGGTGGTGGGTAATGTGACTGGGTGGGCGTGGCCAACTTTTTTTTTTTACTTTTTTAAAGCATTTTTTTACAGCCCATTCAGGCAAATAGGTTGTACCAATTGCTTTTAAAAGGTTTTAAAAAGGCTCTGACGATCACAGCTGTGGCGCGCGATCGTCAGAGCCGTTTTTTACCTTTTAAAAGCATTTTTTTACAACCTATTTGGCAGAATAGGTTGTAAAATAATGCTTTTAAAAGTAAAAAAAGGAGACTCTGACAATCACAGCTTTGGTGCGTGATTGTCAGAGCCTTTTTTTTTTACTTTTAAAAACATTTTTGTACAACCTATCGGGGCCAATAAGTTGTAAAAAAATGCTTTTAAAAGGTTAAAAAAAGGCTCTGACGATCACAGCTGTGCTAGCTGAAAACGGAGCTTGGGAGCCCATTTTTGCTGGCAGAGTGCTCAGGCCACCACAGCTGCCTCTGACACAAGTGACGTTGAGTTGGCCACACCCATTCTGGCCACACCCACTTTGCCCCCCCCAAGGTCAAACACAACCCTGATGCAGGCCTCAATGAAATCTAGACTAGATTTCACTAGAGGTGGGTTTCAGCAGGTTCTGACCAGTTCTGAAGAACCGGTAACGGAAATTTTGAGTAGTTCAGAGAACCGGTAGTAAAAATTCTGACTGGCCCCGCCCCCATCTATTCTCTGCCTCCCAAGTCCCAGCTGATCGGGAGGAAATGGGGATTTTGCAGTAACCTTCCCATGGAGTGGGTGGGAATGGAGATTTTACAGTATCCTTCCCCTGCCACGCCCACCAAACCATGCCCACCAAGCCATGCCACGCCCACCAAGCCACACCCACAGAACCGGTAGTAAAAAAATTTGAAACCCACCACTGTTTGACAACCCTGTATAGAGGGACAGTTTCATCTTCTCCACTTTTCCTTAAGCAATTGAGCATTTTCATATATATTTGAAACTAGGCAAATCTGTCTCAATGGGAGACCACACGTAAATTCCCAGGCACACCATTTTTGTAAGTTACATCATGGACCATGTGCTGCTTAAAGCAAACTGGACCTAAATTAACCTGTGCTTAACTAAAATAAAACCTGGTACAAGAAAGGCAAGGTTAAAAATCTACCAAATCTAAAATGAATGCTTTCTCTGAATGAGCTTTTGTAAAGAAACCTAGTTTATTTTCAGTCATTATTCTACTGCTGCTTTAGAGTTCACAATCTGGTAGGCAGGCAGGGCAGCTAAGCAGCCATGTAGTCTTTGAGTCATGCGCTGGAAGCCAAGGTAGGAGCAGGAATAAGAGTAGCAAAACTATCCTGGACCAGAGAAAAACATGTATTATAAGTAGAGTTAAATTTAATTATATACAGTCAATATCACTCTTCTATACATAATACGTTCTCCTTTCCTTCTATTCCAGTTAATATTTAGTATTAATATTTGGAGATAACCTAGGGGTGTACCCAAGGTTTTAGTGGTTTCTACAGTCTTCATTTTCACAGCTGCATTATACAATATGCTTGTTGAACACACTGTGAGCCAAGCTGAAGACAGTAGATGGCTCTGTTATGGTAGGTAACAATAGGGGATGTCCTCCCAAGATCAACAATGTCTTCATAGGAAAAGTTTTCACTAGTTTGGAGCAGGAGATAAAGAATTAAATTCTACACATACACATCCCTTTCTCCAGTTGCTTCTACTTGTATTTTAAAAGAAGACAGCAGACCTCAGATCAAAACTCCCAAAGCCAACTGGTAAATATATAATCAGAGGGGCATGAAGAGTCCAGGACCTGGGAGAAGATGTTACAAAGCAAAGTCTCAGTTTGGCTATGAGCCCCAGACATGAACCAGGAAGCTGAGATCAATTTGCAGGACAAGAGAGTGTGATGGGAAGCAACCTAACTATTCTTGGTTTCTGATAACACAACACAAATATTTTGCATATTGTTTATCTCGGGGCAAACCTTCTCTTGAGAATTATTTTGTGAAAACATTCCAGCATATTCCCACAATTCCAAAACAGGGCAGCCAATTCCCCAAAGTGAGGAACTTGGTTTAACCAAGTGTGGCTAATGGGACCTGGTTTTGAGATCAAGCAATTTTTACACATTTGACTATTCAAGATATTCGGATAATAACTTCCTTCCCACTTCTAAAAGTCTTACATCGGTTTATAACTAATTATTAAGGGGAGCACGTGACAGTAATTTCTGCACTTGACCAATCTTAAATGAAATTAAATTTGACCTTTGCAGACAACCCAGTACTGATAAGCAATTAGTATTCTAGATATAAATAATGGCTGATGGATAGATAATATTGCACTCTGGATTTTTGTCTAGGCAAAGATAAATGTTTGCCTGATGGGATGCTTGTACATTCCTATCCCAACAGAAGTTCATCCAATGGAAGACATGAACAACTTCGTCTCGTCTCTCAGGCATGTGCTGTTTTTTTAGGCATGTCCTGTTTAATTAATGTAAAGCCTAACCATATGCAGTCCCCCTTCATGGAAAGAAGCTTTACTGAATAAAGTTCCATGGAATTTACACAGAGGCAAGTTTACATAAGTTTGGATCCACTGTATCCAAAATCAGGACACAAAGGAGAATCATTAGTGAAACAGATTATAATCAGGGGCAGGTTTGCTCTCCCCTCAAAACCAGTCCAGGACATTTGGTATCCCCAGTGAGAAGATGGGCATGCAAGTACACAAATCAAGCAACTGGACTTGGCCTTTTCACAACACCCAAAAAATATCAGAACCTGCCCTTCCAAACTGGTGCCAGTTTCTGGTTAAGATGTTGGAGTGTGATCCTGTAATGCTATTTTCCTCCAAAGATGCTGCCTTCAAACAGTGCTTGTTCCCTGTCCCCCCCCCCCATGCCTTCTTCCCCCTTTTTAAATTTCTTTTTGGTCTTTTTTACTTGTTACTATTATTGTTGAAATGTAATTCTATATGAATCAGTTGGTAGTAGCATCTCAGCACAGCACAGCCATTCTTCTGATAACCTTAAATATTTTGTAAGTATAAACTTGATGTGATTTTTAACTTTTCATTTCAGAGAAAAAGAATCTCCTCTTCCTTTTTGACATCCCTTAAATTTCTGATGAAGATATTTCTCACAAATGAGCATTCTGATCTACGTGCATTACTCTTAGACTTGTCTCATTTTGTTCATGAAGATATTGATGATCCTCTAATGAATGTCCTTGTGGAAAGGGTAACAGTAACAGAGTTAGAAGGGACCATGGAGGTCATCTAGTCCAACCCCTTGCTCACACAGGAGACCTGTACTAGGGATTTGAACCACCAAACCTTTCTGATTAGTCACTGAGCCAACCATCAACTGACCCACCCACCCATTTTATGCCTCTTTCTGAACAAAAGGGGCAAATATTTATTCCTTTGGACTCCTAATGTAGGCACAACAGATAGATTAGGTTTTACATGTGAACACAATTACCATTGTGGCAGTCAACTGCAAAATAATTGTACAAAAGCATTCCTTAAAAACCAAACAAAGTCTGAATAAATTTGCAAGGCCCATAAACACATTTTATCCATGAAAAGCAATCATAAACAGCAGTAAATTTGCTTTGCATGGTTAAAATAGTCACAACCAAAGGAATTCTGTATTAATTAATTGACACCGTATTGATTATTGTCTCTAGCTGCCTCTCAAATATAAAACTGTTTAATAGATAGTGCTAGTTTCCTTACTTTTCAAACTATTATTGTTTGAAAACAACATCAGTTTGCTCAGATATAAATCCCAGTGAGGTCTCTCTTTCTCCTAGGTAAATGCTTAGCCACTTCAATTTTCAGTCATTATCCTGGCACAATTTTTTCCTATTCTCATAATACTTAGGTAGCTGATGGTTTCCAGCAAACCACCATTTCATGTCAGCTTCACAGTTTCTACAATGCCAGCTGCCCAGCCTATCAGTGGGATTTTCATCTTCCAAATATGCCTGTGCCTTTTTAAAGTGTGTGGAAGTAATTCAGTGGAACAATATTTAAGTAAACCTGAGTTGAGTCTAAAAAGAAACGTTTGGAAGTTAAGGTGTTGCCAAAAGGGCGTAAGTGTTGGGTTGGTTGGATCATTCACCCAAGGCCCCTGATAGGAAAAGCAAAGGCAGGTGGAGATGGAGAGCAACCCCAGAATGTAATTCAACTGATGCTCCAGCCTCTCGCTTCTCCTGTCCAGGCAAACCTCCCTTCCTCCCACCTGCCTTCCAAGCCCTGAGCCAGCAGCCTGCAGGTGCTTACCCAGTCTTCTTATGGCGAACCGTGAGGTTGTCTTTATTGGGAGGACGGTCGGGCAGGAGGACCTCCGGGCGAGGGGTGACCTCTAAGACTGGCCCGTAAGGCCGGCTGCTGTTTCTCTCGTGCTCCTTGGCACTTTCTTCGAAGAGCACTTGGCCACTCAGCTTGTTGAAGACGATGGTGTTCATGGCTGGCGGGTGGCAACGTCCTTCAGGAGAGAGCAGGCCGGCTGGGTGCGGGCAGGCAGTTCCGGTCAGCGGGGACAGGCGCGCGCTGCAAGGGAGAAACCTCGTGTTATTCGGGGTCCGGGACATCACCGGACGCATCGCGGGGGAAGGGAGGGGGACCAACGAGATCGAGGACGAGAACTTTCTCGCGAAGGGAGAGCCTCCAGCAGCAGCTGCAGTAGCCGTCAGGGCTACCGAAGGAGCGCGCGCCCTTTGAACCCCCCGCCACGGGGCTGGAGAGAAGGGCGATCGAAAAATCGATAGTATTGAAGAGCGGGCATCAGTCGCTCTCTGAAACGCTCCAGCTAAGCCCAAACCCGCATCACATGTCCCGCCAACCAAGCCATCTCGTGGGCGGTTTGACCAGAGCAAAAAACGAATCTAGGCGCAAAGTTGCGCCTCTTCCAAGCAAGGCTTTTACAGCTCGGAGAGAGACGGAAACGCGGCGCGCTTCAATCAGAAAGGCGGCTCTGCTGTATTGCTGACCGATTCTAACCTCGGTGTGCGTTTATGAGGTTTTTAAGGGCTTTCTGCGGAGTTCGCCTCCTTTTACCGGGCTATTTCCATCCCTTGTAGCATCATTCTCTTCCACCGAATCGGAGACGAAAACCCAGCATCACCTGCTTAATTTGCCGTCCTGTCCGCGAATGAGAGACGGAAGCTCCGTCTGGGGGGGGGGGGCAGGCGGCTTGGTCAGGAGGGCGTAGCTGATATGGGTGTCTTGGGGCTCCCCTTCCCGGCTAGCGCACGGCCGGTCCCGTTCCCCGCCTCCTTTACACCTGTCTGCACGCCCCCTAGTGACAGGACCAATTCTTCAAGAGAAAGAGGGACTCGCCAGAGAGAGTTTTAGCAATAATTTGACTATTCCTCCCATACACACAGACACACAGACACACACGTACACATAGAAAGATCGGTCTGGAAAAGGGGGGACAAACAGCTCTTTTCCAGCCGGATTGCGACGTCTCCATGTTGTTCAAAAATAGTTTGTCACTGGTTTTTTCTGTAATCTTTTGTTGTTGTTGTTGTTGTTGGTTTGTTTCCCAATCTACAGCCCAGATTTCCTGGTGTTTTCTCATCCAAGTATTACATCTGATACAAATTTGAAATTTCTTTCTTTCTTTGCCTGAGAAGCAGACAGGTATTGCAATGGAGGTACCCGCTTGGCTAATGCAAGGTTGGGAACTTGTTTTGCCTAACTTACACATTTATTTGTTTTTATGTATTTATTTATTTTATTAGCCCCACCCCCCCAATAGTTTACTAATAAAATGGGATAATGGTCTGTATTTTATTACTCTTAGCAGCCTCAAGCGCTGTTTGCCCAGAAAAGGAGGGAGGCCATTCTAAGAAATGAAGAAATTCTTATAAGCACAAATGGTTGGGGAAGTTTCTGCCGAAATGTGCATTATTTTTTCTTGAAAGACCACCAACAGATCTAGGATCTAAACTGTTGCTTCAAGGAAAAGAACAGAAACAGCAGACTCTCCCACTCTGATGGAGGTTTAGAAAAACAAAGGCAATCCTGAGCATCCTCCAAGCCAGGATGTGCTTGCCCCCCTTACTTTTGAGAATGCACAGGCATTAAATCTCATGTGAATGCAATTATACCATGTGAACGGTTATGGACATGCTTCTGACCCTGAACGGATGGATCCCGGGAGCTTGAACCAATGGCCCTATCTGCAGGATGCGAGAAAATTACCAGCCTTGGATTTATTTGATTTAACTTGTGTTCCATAGACTCGCACGCGTTAACTTGCGGTGTGTGAATAGACTTATGAATGCATGGGATCTTTTTCTCCTATGTGCTTTAAACTACTCGAGGATTCTGTATACCAAGCAAATACATTTCTCCCAAGCCTAAAATATTCCGCTCTGCTCTCGATGCAAATTAGGAAAAAAACAAGGCTAAAATTGAATATTCAGTTATTCAATTAAACAACCGGGTTTAAAATTTTCTTGACCGTAAATGCGAACACCTACAGAAAGATATGCGACACGTTTAGATCTGACCTTGTCTACATTCGAACTTAAGCCGGATCAGACCTTGTTAGAACTTGGATGGGAGACTATGGGGAAATCCCAGGACTGCAGGCTGAGAAATAAGGGGTGTGTGGAAGAAATCTCAGGGGAAAAAAAGGAAGGCAAACTACTGTACTGCTCCCAAGAACATTCCATGCACGTGCCTACAAGTCACTGGAAACAGATCTCACTTTTGTGATGGGAAATTCTTCAAACAAGGTCAACCTTTGCAAGTTTAGCAGAAAGCAAGACTCAATGAATTCAGTGGGATTTAGCCCCAAGCAACTGACTTTTGGATTGTAGCCAAATGCTATTTCAGTTTAAAACGAAACCTGCACTGGATACCATTGGTAGGTTCCCCACACCCCCCAACTTCCTCCTCCCCTTCACCATTCACACACCGCAAGTTAACGCGTGCCAGTCTATGGAAAACAGGTTAAGTCAAATAAATCAAAGGCTGGTAATTTTCTCGCATCCTGTAGATAGGGCCATTGATTCAAGCTCCCCGGATCAATCCGGACAGGGTCAGAAGCATGTCCATAAGCGTTCACATCGTATAATTTACTAATACGGATAAAAAATTTGTGATCAAATATCACATACCTCTGAATTTTGAAGATCAGTTGGACAGAGGAAGGTGGGCATCAGAAATAGAAAAGAGACGACTTAGACCGGGCTACGATGGAAACTACTTAGAGGAAGAAACTGGAGGCGGGGGCGGAGGTGGGCTCTTCCCAATCAGAAAAAGAAAGACACGTGATGTTGCCTGTCCCTATGGGTGCTCATTTCTAGCGATAAGGCTTATTAGAGTTTCAGCTGCATATGCAAACCATGTCTTGTTTAACCGCGTCTTACTAATAACTATCGGTATATTCAAGGTCGTTGTGAAGCAAACCAACGATAGTTATTAGTAAAACGTGGTTAAACAAACCATGATTTGCGTATGCAGGTGAAACTGCAACCACATACCATTCCACCCTCCAGTGGCATCCTGGTTTAGCATGTTGAGTGAACTCAGCCAAAGAGATGTCAGGACAGGAAGAGGAATAGGGGCGAATTCTGTAAAAGATGCGCAGAAAGAGATGCAGCCAAACAAACTTGGAAAAATCGTTTCTGAAACGCGTGTGCGTTATGGGTTTTGAGAGGCTTGAAGGGGCCCCGTTTGAGAGGCGAGATAAGTTTGTCAACTTGCCCGCTCGAATACATGAACATGAAAACGAAGCATCGCTCAAGCAATAAGCGCCTTCAGATTCACATCTACGCGTTTCTGGGTGGGGGGAAAGCGGAGAGATGAAAGCAGCGGAGAGATGAAAGCAGAGTCCCGGGTGGCGTGTCGGCCTTGTTCTGCTTCATCTCGCCCTCTCCGGTGCTGCACCCCCACCCCTTAATTCCAGCCCAACCTTTAGTCTGGCAGATTTTGCTACCTTCGCTCGCCTTCGCTTCGTCACAACACACTCAGGCAGTTTTTCCCGGCCGGAGCTCCCTTTGGCCTCTCTGCTGACCAAAGTCATTCAAGAGATCAGCGCCAACAGCACACACAGCCCGTGCCATCCCGCTTCCCCACCCCAAACTTCCCCACCCCAAACTAAGTCTTCGCCACCTCCAGGAATCGCGTCGCCTTCTCCCCACTCCAAAAACGTTTGGAGTATCCACTGTCAATATTTGCGAGGATGTTGTTCAGACTCCTTTCGGACTTGTCCGCAGGAAAAAAAATACGCCGTGGACTCGCGTCAACCTGGCTGGCTGTTCTGCGGGTCGGCGCGGGACTAGAGCCTACAAGGCAAGGCGACAAGCGATACTGGGCCAAAAGAGGACCAGAACCTGCCGGCGCTCGTGTACCTGGGCCCAGAAAACAACTCTCGGGCGCCCCACAGCCCCTTCCGGTCGTCAGCCCTCGCCCAGGTGCCTGCAGGCCAGTCCTCAGGACTTTTCCCAAGATCGAATCTGGCACCTCAAAGACCACCGCCGTATTTAAGCATCACACGGGTCTTCCACTGGTGGGAACGCCTCAGGGATGAAACTTTTTACAAAAAGATAAAAGAAAGAAAAGCCTCCGGGCACCATCAAATTACCCCATTAAGACGGCTTCAGCTGAATCGTCGGTACTTTCCCTAAAGTTAAAGGGTAGCATCTTGGGTTGGCCTCCGAGGACGCCCCAAGAACCTTCCTTTCCTCCTCTGAAGCCGTCACCACTGGAAGGCCACGGTCTGGCAGGCGTTCGCAGGACTCTTCTCTTCCCGACAGAGGCGTTCCCACGCGTTCTCCAGGTTAACCAGAGAGGTCCCCTTCCGGCAGAGCCAAAAGAAGTTAGAAACAAGCCCGTCCCTTGGGAGGGAGAAAGGGGCCATAATAATCCTATTGCAATTTGTAACCAGGGACCCAAAGCCACTGCCGAAATATAAATAGTTTCGAATAATTAATTAAGCCGAAACACGCATATTTTAAAATTTACAGCACATGAATTTCAAATATCCAGAGAACATTCAGTTTATGAAAGTCGCTTCAACCGTGTCTAGACTTCTCAAGTTCCTTGTTTAAGGCACAATACAGACGGCGCTTAAAAGACACGGGTCATTGGCAAAGTAGTGAGAGAATAGCACGCAGGAAAAGGCGGCCGCCGTTTCCCGCAGCGGGACCCAGTTTCCCCAAAGGTCGGCGCAAATGCCATCAACCCGCTGCTGGCAAGCGCTCCTTCGCCCAGGCCCCACCAACTTTCGCAGAAATGCGGATGCGCAACTCTGGAGAACAGATGGCGCCTAAGGGAGGATGCTTCGCCTCGGTTGACTCTCCTGCGGGTCCGCGCGTCCCAAACTCGCCTAATTAGAGATGCGGCAGTTCCGCTCACAAATGGGACAAGGCGCAGTTCACTTGGGCCACTAGTGGCAATGGGTTTACGAGATCAAGCGCCGGACCTGCCCCCCCATTCAGCAAACGGAAAAGGCAAAAATAAAAACGCTCTCTTCCCTTAGGATCTTTTGCGTACCTAGTACTCATAGCCTGTCATTGCTATTACTATGAATCTTAATAACTTGGTGTGTGTGTGTGTAGGTGGCGGGGTGGCGGGGGGAGAATCCTTCTGGCAGATAAGGAGTCCGGACTGTATTCTCATTAATATTGTTTTTGGGGAGAGAAAGCGCTCATTCCTTGAAGGACGCGATTCGTTTCAGCAGGGAGCAGGGAGAGAAGTCGCGCGCGCGCTAGGCGAGCGGGACTGCTGAGCGGCGGCGAAGAAACCGAGCGCTTACGAAGACCGCGGACGTGATGGACACGGCCGGCGGACGCATTAGCTCTCCCTTTGGAACGGCAAAACCTTAGCGACCTTTTTCACCTGCAGACCCAGCGCCCTGACAGGATTCCCGCTCTCTTTCCCCTGTCGGAACCGCAAGAGAGAGAGAGAGACCAGCTGCGGACAGAGCCATTATCTCTTGCAAAAGGAAGACTGAAAGAAAACCGGGGCGGCGAGAGGTTGCCGGGACAGAAGCACCACTTTGGTGTCCGAAGGTGAGGTTGAGGTATGTCTGCGGGGAAGGGCCCCTTCCCTCCCGTTGCCTTGGTTCAGGTCAAGCTCGACAAGCGCGCGCGCCTCCTCTCCCATTCCCGGGGATGCCTCCAGCGGTCAGTACCTGGCGGCTGTTGGGAGCTGCGATTGCTGCGGGGCCGGGATTCGGTCTGACTGCGTGCTTGTTCGTTGGTTTGCTTGGCTCCGCTCTTCCCTTCTCCCATCCCAGCTCCCGCCACACGCTTTCGGCACGCACACCGCTCGCGAGAGTTCTCGCCCCGCGGCGGCGGAGGCTGCTCGTCTTTATTGTCCAGACCGGAGCGCCCTAGCCCGGGAACGTGAATAGCCGCGTCTTCTCATGTTTCCCCTTTGGCTAGCTCAGTCTGCGAACATCGTAACATTGTCGTATCCAGCTTCCGGGGCCGCGGCGGTCTGCGAAGCCCCCGGCGGTGTCTGTCAAAAGGACAGGGAGGGACCGAGGCGAGGTGGAGAGCGCGGCGGGATCGTGGACCGACCGATCCTTTCACGGCGGAGGATCGCGGTTCTTGGATGCCCTGAGGCGACTCCTGTCTTGTCCAAGGCGGACAAAGGCCGAAAAGAAAATTAATCATGATCCTTCTGGTACATAGATTTATCTGCCAGGAGGTTCAAAAAGCTGAAGGAGAGACGGGAGATACTTCACTGTGTCGCTGTAGCCTTCCCGACCTACTACCTTCCAGATCGCCTTGGGCACAAGGGCCCATAATCCTCAGGCATTCTAAAAGATGAAGAGCAACATAATATGGGAATCCTAAAAGCTGCAGTCTGGGAGAGACCCAATCTGGAAAGGTTTGCAGGAGGTGATTGCCCAGCTACTGGATGCCTAACAGTACATGGCCACTCCGAAGTAACCTTATTCAGTTTAATGCTACCTGTTCCCAAGATCCTGGCTTCTTTCAGCTCAAAAGAGCTAAATCAGAACCAATTAAATACATAGATTTATGGAGGAAGCTAGTGAACTCTTCAAGTTGTAACTTGTTTCTATATACTTTACACTGATTTGTGAGTCCATTGGAAACCTTGGAGAAAGTAGCACATTTTGCTCATTTTGGAGATGGAATGAAGGGAGATTGAAACAACCAAAAGTGATTCAAGGACTCAGTCATTTAGCAACACCAAAGGGTCACTTTTAACTGATCTTCACCTGTTAAGGAGGTGGGCAGCAGAGATCTGTCTTTCCACCCAATTATTTGTTCATTCATAAGTCTATTCGACAAGGACACCATCACTGTATTCCTAAATATGTCCTCCAAAATATAAAGGTATTTTGAGTATGACTGTGTATGATAGGCCGACACACACTTGCTTATACTGGATTTACTGAACAACATATGCTGTCATAACATGAATACAAGTTCTCCCAACTAAAGTTTAAATCAACATTCCCCAACTTTGTGTGCTCCAGATATGTTGGACTTTCATGTCTGCAAAGCCTGGCTGAAATGCAGGCTTAAACCATGTTGCAGAAATGATGACAAATCATCATGTTCCAAAAGATGGGATAGGAGGCAGAGGAAATAAAAGTATTAGACTTCAGGGACCTGGTGGGGTGGGGGGTGGATGAGTTTAACTGAGAAACCTTTACTTCCTTCAAAAGTTGTTCTTAAATTGTTTCTACTGAGTCCACTGGTGGGTGGGAAAGTTGGTTCGAAGTACAGGATTGTCCTTGACCAATCAGCAGATAAGCAGCATATGGATCACCACTGACTGAATTCAGCAGCTCCACTAAATTAGATACTGTATTATTTAATGTACAGTATATCCTACTTGGCCTCCAGAAGCAAAGAGTGGCTTTTACAGAGGTCTCAATTTTTTTCTTCATAGCAATGCTATGGCGTAGCTTGGATGAAAGGGTGTGACTACTCTTGAATCATTCTAATAAGCTTTAATAAAGAAAGGAGGGAAAGAATTGGGCATCAATTCAAAAAAGGCCGTGATCCTAAATGCACACGTTTATAAGTAGCCCTAATGAATTCACTAGGATGAGTAAACTCTCATAGGAGTGGGAAATTCTATGTTAGTTTTCCAGAGTGAGAAAATCCTGATGTAGTCCTTGCATGAGATTTGATGTTTTCCTCAAGGAACGATCCATAGGAAGTGAGGAAACCACCTTCTTGAAGTAAAGCAAGTCTAGTTGCATGCTTTTATCCAGCAGAGATGTCTAGAAAGATTTTGCTGAGCTATAACTCTCAGCAATCCATCAGCATTGTCAAGAGAAAAAGAAACTGGAACTTGTGGTTATCAGCATCAAGAGAAGTATAAGTTCTCCATGATTTTAATAACCGCACAGCTTTTCTATATACTTTGCTAAAAGTTACAACAATGAAAGCTAGTAGGGGTATAAAAATGAATTTATTAGTGAAAAAGTGAGTACTGGATTATATATATATTTCTCTCTCTCTCTCTCTCTCTGTGTGTGTGTGTGTGTGTGTGTGTGTGTGTGTGTGTGCACGCACATGTGCCCCTGTGTACGCATCTTTGAGCCATTGTTGAGCCCTGGTAACTGCCTGGGACTAGTTCCTGTTGGGTTTTTTTTTTGGCAAAATTTTGAAGTGGTTTGCCATTGTTTCCTTCCCAGGGTTGACAGGAAGGAACTGGCCCAAGGTCACCCAGCTGGCTTTGTGCCTAAGGTGGGACTAGAACTCAAGGTCTTCTGGTCTTCTAATTCAGAGATTATATGGATTGTTCACAAGTTTTCATACCACCCTCCCCTGCAATATAAAACCAAAATATATAAGAGTAGCTTGATCATGAGATGGGGGGCAAATAAAGAAACAATTAAACAAATAAATACATAAGTAAACAAATCACTTTATCCTTGGATACGTGAGTCTTATTCTGCAAAAGTGGTGAATGTATGAGTATTTCCTATAATAAATATTTTTACTTTATGTCAAACAAATGGAACTTAAACCCTTTCAGACTACAATAGTATTTTCAAATGGTACATAATGTACAGTAGCCCCCTCTTCCCATGCAATGCTTTTTCTGCCAGTTTCCCAGTTATTAAACTATTATTGCTTTTAATTCCAACTAAGAGTATTGTGGAAATTGGCAGTCGTTGGGTATTTTCAGCAGCCTGGTCCATAATTATTCAGTTTGCTGAAGAGGCTGAAATTAGTCAATGTATGGAGTAAATGGCAAAGTGCACAACTATTCAGATAGCAGTTTATGAGAGATGAATTATATACCTTGAGCTCACAATTATAAATAAATGAGACTGGAAATATTATCCATTAAAGTTTTAATGTGCTAGTATCTACACTGTTCTAAGGAGAGTTTGGTACCAATTATGTCTTTATTTATTCAATCAATCTCTATAGCCAATCATCTGAGCCAAGTGATTCTGGGCAGCTGACAATTCTGAAACTATAAAACAGTTAAAACAATGTAAAACAATAAAAACATCCAAACAATAAATACATACAGGCGCCAAAATAATTAACCAACTAATATTAAAGACACGAAATTGAGCCCTGAACACAATTTTGGTACACAGCCAAATTCTTAAAGCCTTAGCAAAGATCAACAGAGTTGGGTCATTTTAATTTCTAAGGAGAGAATATTCTACAATGGAGGGGATCAGGGGTGAAATGCTACCAGTTCGGACCGGTTCGGGCAAACTGGTAGCAGAGATTGGGGCTGGTTGGCCGAACCGGTAACAACTGCCCTCTGGCCACACCCCCGAACCAGTCTGTGGCCCACAGTTCCTGTCATGCTTACCTGCCTTCCATGTGACCTTCCTGGCATCCCCATGGCCAGCTTGCGAAGTCAGGCAAGTGGAAGGCCACGGGGAAGGCAGGCAAGCATGGCAGGACTGCAGGGAAGGGAGCTAGCAACCTACTCCCTTCCCCGCAGCTCTGCCATGCTTGCCTGCCTTCCACGCTGTCTTCCCGGCATTCCCCCATGCCTGCTTGCCTTCCAAGGTCGGGACCAGCCTGGCCCAGCCAGTGGGTGGGTGGGCAGCCCTTGGTGGAAACACAGAAGCTGAGCTAGGGCTGAGAGGGACGGCGGCGGTACTCCGAGAGAGCAAGCGGACATCTCTAGGCTGCTGCACATGCGCCTGCTCCGTTACTCCAAAGGCAGAGGCTCCACTGCAGGGTGATCCAAAGATGGGAGAGGGATGCTGCAGAAAAGGCTGCCTTCCACCCGGGCCTGGGTGCCTCCCATGCCAGCTCCACAGGGCTTGGGGCTCTGAAGCAGCCCACTGGCTTCCCACCCAGCGACCTGCCTGCTGTCTTTGACCACTGGTGCCACTTTCAGAACTTGGCCCACAGAATCTGGCACTCTGGGGGAAGGAGGCTTGGCTGTGGCGCCACTTCCCGCCAGCAAAGACCCAGAGCAAGAGGCACAGAAGCCTTCGGTGGCTGGCAGGGCAGCAGCCCCCTGCATGGGGAGAGGGCCAAGCCCAGCCGCACCACTGTGGAGTCTGCGGCACTTTCCTTTTGGCCTGGGTGGTGGTGCTTACCCGGACAAGCCAGTATGGGTAGCCCTTCATCTTGCCAAAGACCAGGTCGCCACACTTATAGTCACGTGACCGGCCGGAGTGGGACATGGCATGGGCAGAGAGGCTAATGCAGCCCCCACTGAGGCCATCCTGGCTGAGCGATCACAGTGCCTCCACAGCAACAGGTGTGCCGCGGCTGCCTTGCCTGCCTTTCCCTCCGTGCGCTGCGCTTGGAAGGGGTTGCCACCACTTCTCTCCCTCCCTGCCTGGCTCCACAATGTGCACATGTCCGCCTGCCCTCCCGAAGCAACCCCACTGCCGTTAGCTTTCATTTCGCAGCGGAAGAAGGAAGCGAACATCGCCACCGCAGCACATGCATGTGTGCATATGCAGCAGCCCCAGGAAGTCTGTGGCTGCAGCCTGCCCTCCTGGAGCACCGCCGTGGTGCTGCCATTCGCTTTGATCAGCAGTGCAGCAGGCAAGAGTGTGTTGTGGCCCGCCAGCGGCCTGTGCACCTGGTAGCTGATTCCAACAGTGAGGAGGTTTGTGTGGAGATTCGCCAGCAGCCTGTGCAGCTGGCACCTGCGACAGACAATAAGGAGGCTGGAGATTTGGTGCTAGAGGCGGGATTCAGCCAGGGCCTTCAGAACCACCAGAAGCTCCTATAAGTGAAGAGGAAGAAGAGGAGGAGCCTCTTCTCAATGCATGGGTGCACAGAGCTGCCAAAAGGCAGGAATGGCTCCTCAGGAGGAAGTCTCCTCGAGAGTAAGGCTTGGGGCTAATTGGCCACTCCCCTAGCCTATTTAAGGAATGACGACGACGGAGGCAATTTACAGAAAACAACTTCGTTCATATTCCTTCGTGTATTGATTCCCGAAACGTCTGATCGGCTCTTGCTTCTCCCTTGTCATTTTTCCTGCAAATTGCTTCTGGGCATTCTGCCAGCCACAGTAAGTTTACAGTTATCTGAAAGACTGTGCCTCAGAATTGAGTTATTATTCCTTGGACTCTTGTCGGCTGTTAATGAAGTTAAATTAACAGCCTTTGTTCAGAAAAGACTGATTTAAACTGTACTTGTGTTTGAACAATTACTAAGAAAGCTCATTAGTAGTCCTTAATTAGTAAACTAAGGTTTGTATGGACTTTGTGTGTGCTGCATTCTTTGTGGTCCATAGCTGGGGCAGAACACAGTGTGCGTTTAAGAAGGGGAGCGTCTTGCATGTGCTGCAGTGGCACTGTTCACTTTCTTCCTTCTCCCACCGTGAAATTAAAGCGAATGGTGGTGGGGTTGCTTCAGGAGGGCAGGCGGATTCGTGCACACTGTGCAGCCAGGCAGGGCATGGAGGTGAAGGCGGGCAAGACGGCTACAGTGCACCAGTTACTGCGGAGGCACTGCAATTGCTCAGCAGGGCAGCCTCAGCGGGGTCTGCATTGGCCTCTCTACCTGTGCCATGTCCTGCTCTGGCCACCCACATGACTATAAGTGTGCCAATCTGGTTTTTGTAAGATGAAGGACTGCCTGCACTAACCCAGCTGGGTAAGCACTGCCGCCCAGGCTGAAGGAAAGTGCCACAGTCTCCGCGGTAGTACGGCCAGGCCTGTCCCTCTCCCCACGCGTTTAAGAAGCATGGCTCCAGTAAGTTTAGCTACAAGAAGCCTGCAGCCACTGCATCTTTCAGCACAATAGGCGCACCGAAAAAAAGAGGCTGCAGCTGCAGGCATCTCGCGACAGGGGAAAATAGGGTTTTAGAATAGAAAATAGAAATTTTAAAAAATTTCCTGCTGGGTTCTGTGGGGGTGGCTTGGTGGGGGTGGTTGTCATGTGACTGAGTGGGCATGGCTGTGAGTGACATTAAGTTGGTCACGCCCACTCAGTCACAGGAACCCCCCACCAAGCCACGCCCACAGAACCGGTAGGGAAAATTTTTAGATTTCACTACTGGAGGGGATATAGCAGAAAAGGCCTGTCTTTTAGTATCTGCCAATTGATACTTTTTGGCTGAGGGTATTTGCAGCAAACCCAGTCTGCTGGATCGAATTGGATGAGTAGAAACTCTTGGAAAAAGATGATCCCTCGGCTAACCTGGTTCAAAGCCAGGTTGGGTTCTAAGGTGACATCCAGTGCCTTGAATTGCACCCAGAAACACATTGGTGACCAGTGCAGCTCACATGGTAATGGAGTTACATGTGCCATGTATCTGGCACCATTTCCTACCACAGATGGAATAACTTAGAAATTATTGGTGAACCCACTCTTCATAAAACTTAAAATGGACACCTAGCATCAAAAACATCATCAAAAAAGCACAACAAAGA